AATCTGGGGTTGAACATCAACCCTGCAGCATTGATGCTCCATCCTGAGTTGTCAAACAAGGGCTTGTTGTCTGATGTGTGCACAACTAGGTGTTGGACATCTCTCCATGTCAGCTTTGGGCTGGAAATAAATGGTACCAACAAAAATATTTTCAGGTGGTTCCACAAATTCATTACCTAAACAGAAGATACATTTTAGTTTAATTAACTTGGCATTCAAGTTTTCTCTTGGTTGATATGAAAATGTTTCTCTGTCATTTGATAATATACTTTTGAAATTGAGGGTTTGACAGTTGTTCTCTTTGCATTTGTTTTAATTTTGATTTGTTTACTAAGTTAAAAATTGAGCTCAAGAATTGAATTTTTATTTCTTTCAACTGAGAGTTCTTTACTCTGTGCAGTTTTCTTTTGCATGGCCCATTTGCTGTTGCAGACACAAAACTGCATGCATTCATTGTATTTATTGTTGTGTGTTCCTGAAGATAATCCCATGTGAATTAGGTGCTGAGACAATATAATGACATTTTTCACCATTTATGATTAATTAGTATGTGCTACAGATACTGGGCATATGAATAGTTTTATATGTTCTGTACTGATTTTTGAAATGTGTTTGTTGCTTTAAAAACTTACTGCATTTGCAAATGATATTTAGAATATATGAACTCACTTAGCTTCCAAGACCAAAGCTATGATCCCAGCTGCTAAAGGAGCAGCAGCAGAAGTGCCAGTGTGATCCACAGTGCAGGAATCATGGAGATCTGTGGTAGTCTAATGTGGTAGTCATTTGAGAGTTATTGCAACATGATGAGGAGGTAATACATGTCTCAAATGAATCATGATGATTCAAACTCACTATTTTCTGGTCCTTGTAGGCTCCTGATGAGTAGGTTGCAGCCATGGTGGAGCCACATTTTTCCCCATACCAAGGAAACTTGCCTGACTGAGAGGCTGATCCCACTGCTATGGTGTAAGGTGATGAGGCATAACCATCACAGGCACATGAGTCACCTCTGTGGCCACCATTCCCTGCTGCCCATACATAGATGCTGCCTTTTCCATTCCTGCCCTGTTTTCATTTTTGGAATGGTGCAGATTTGATTTGGATTATAAAGTACTGTATATAGTTTCATCAACCTAATTAAACAAGCATAAATTACTATTATAAGGAAGAAAGATATGTCTCATAGTTTTGCTTGAAATTTATGATATACAGGTTACACCTTGCAATTCAACCTCCTGCAATTTGACCATCCCACAATTGAACTGTCAAATTTGCTGGGATTTCAACTCTCAATTCAACCTCTGCTGCACAATTTGACCTGTGGAGATACAGAAAATTGTCAAATCCAACATAGCCATGTAGAAAACATGCCATTTGGTCTTGCCTTGCAATTTAACTACTTTTCAATTCAACCATAGTCCAGCAACAGATTGGGTCAAATTGCAAGGTACCACCTCTGCAATAATGTTTGGTTGTTTTTTGCACATATGTCTATATGCAGAGGTCTCCCATAGCACTAACTATAGCATCACACAGAGGTATTTAATAAATCTACCTCATCTGTGTGAGACTGTTAGTAGCTTAAGAATCATCATCCACATAATCTGAAGTTCTCTAGTATGAAAATGTATTCTGCTTGTCCTTATATACATGTATATGTTTTCTACTGTTGAATCTTTAAAGTGCATTTTTTAAATTTTCAGTTGCCCAATTATTGATCAGAATGTTCTGTAACTCAGCCTGCATCTTAATTATGGAATATCTTCAATACAAGAAATACTGACAGAAATGTGCATACAAGGTTAAAAACAGAACATATATCTGATTGAAATATTTCAGATTATGCAATCACTTCATAGATGTGATAAATATTCTGCTGCATTTTTGTTTTTGGTTAATTTTCTATTTGATAAAAGGAAATTAGATTTAGGACATCACCTTTGTAACACCTTTCTTGAATGCATGGTTGGTAAGTTCCCCAGGACCTTCAACTGTCCTGCCATCATCAGCTGGTCCCCAAGAGGAAGAAAATATGTCCATATTTTCCACATTGAACCCCAAGGAAGTCCCTTCTACTGCATCTGTTACTGACCCATCTAACATTCTTATACCTAGGGAAAAAGGATATATTAGGGAATTTTCAGTTTATGGAAATATTTGTAAAAATGAAGGAGGAATGACAGAAGTTGTGGATAATTTTAAATCTTACCCCCAATGGATGCACCATAAGCAACCCCAACTCCACACTTTTTGTTGTTGGCCACCATGGCTATTTCCCCAGCACATCTGGTACCATGCGAATTTGTGTCTATGTCATCATATCTTGGCCATGGATCATGGTCCATGTCATTGGCATCATAGCTAAGGCTAGGGTCCTGTACAAAATGATAAGGGAAAATGTACTGCTTTGAAATGAGCAACTTGAGCATTTTGTCAAACTTACATAGTTCAGGGCCAAGTCTGTGTGATTGTATTCTATCCCATCATCCAAGACAGTGATTTTCACTCCTTTTCCTGTGTATCCCATGTCATATACTGGCAAAACATGGAGGTCAAGTTCTGGCAATGAAGCATAGTTCCTTGTGTCTTGCTGTGTAACAGGAGCCCATCAAAGGAATAGAAGAAACTCTCTTCAATGTGTTTCATTGCTTGGAGCTTGAGGATCATGTTTCAATGGAGCTCAAATGGCATTGGCCTTAACAACTAGAGTAACAGCTGCCATTTAATGGGCACAAATTATCAAGAATTTGAAATAACTTTTAGTATTGGACTCATAGGTTATGACTTATATTACTAGAAATTGTGAAAAAATTCTATTCTAATAAAAAAATTATCCATGGGATTAGAGTTAGTTCTAGGGCTACAAAATGATACTTGCAAAATTGAATTCAATCAGATCATTTTTGAAAGTGGAGTTTGATTATTCCAAGAAAAAAGCATCTGTTGAAAAGACAAGACATTTCAATTTATATAGGATGTGTAGAGTGGAACTCACCAAATACCATTCATGATCCCACAGTTCATCATTGAACCTTCTGTCTTTGCTTCTTCCCACTTTGTGAGAGATTTCTGAGAAAATTTCTCTCTTTCTGCGCTTGAATCTCTTGGTCCTGGTGTTGACATAAGTCAAATCATCTTCAATCAGTTCAACATCACTCGGTTTGTCTGGGATCCAGATCCCATCTCTTTTGTCTCTCCTCTTTGACACAAGCTCTTCAGCCCATAGAACCTGAGGTGGAAAATTAATCTTCATCTAGTATTCCTGGTAAGAATATTGGAAGGTGCTGTTCTGGTGTTTTGCTTTCCAAATCCAACCATGTCTGAACATAATTTTCTTCAGCATGATTTATGATTGAATTACAGTCTACCCTTGGTTTGCTTGCATAACTTGTTCCAAACAAAGTTTGTTGATCAAAAAATTATTGAAAAAAGAACCAATTTCCCATTAATATCAATGAGGAAGAAATTCAGCAAAGCTTCCTAGCAAAAAAAGAAGTGAAACTGTCAAATAATGGATGATCCCTTAGCTGGTTGAGATGCTTTGATTCCTCTTTCAGAAATTTTTATTGAAGAGCTATTGACTATATCTTAGAAATGCATGGTTACAAATTGGAACTTCATTTTCAAGAAATATGTGTTCTGACTTCTGAGTGAGTTGAGGAGCACAGTTCCAAGTAAAAGGTCTCATTTCACAACATGAAGCAGAGAAAAGCAAGAAACAATTCAATCATCATCAACAACAAAATTTCAAAGTAGAGATTATTACTCTTATTATGATGCCATGGAGGCAAAAATATGCATTTCATGAATGAAAACATGGATTGTTTAAAATCATGTTTTCCTTTTCATTCCAGTGTTTCAACTAATTTTGTTTGTAAACTGAGGATTTTGTTGGAAAGAAGGTTAATTTTGGTTTTTTTCAAGAGTTCAGCAGTTGGTTGACAAAAAGTTTTTATAAGTATGGAGGGGGTTTGTTGACAAGGGCTGTAAAGCATATCATGATTGCTCAAACATATTTTATATATGATGGTGCATTTTTTTATGGTTTCATATATATGATTATATATATAGACAGTCAGATACTGGAACAGCACCTTCTTGAAAAGTGAGAGGATCTTTGGGGATTTTTTTTTCTTCTTTTTACTTTGGAATGGTCCAACAGACTTGAAGTTGCTCTTTGGTGGAACCCTCTCTTTTGCATGCTGCTGGTGCTGGTGGGACCCATGGGTTTTCTCATGATGTAGAAATTGTCGAATCCTGGAACCTGTATAGAAGCAAGAAAAGCATGAATATACATCTTTGAGGCTCTCTCCTGGGACCAAAAGAAGAGGCGAAGACGCATGGATATACGAATTCAGTCCTTGGCTTTGCCCAAGTGTCTGGTGAATAATTGATAGAATCCAACCCAGCGCAGAAACTGGACCCGCTTCATCCCCTCAGGATCCCAGGACACATCTTTGCCAGGGCCACGGGTTTAAAATTTCAAAGTGCATTATTGTCAGTACAAATGGCTGCCTTTTGTGCCATGCTGCTGGTGAATTTTTCATCCCCATCACCCCCCTTTGATGCAAGAGGAATGGAGGATTCCAATGTGTCAAAAGGAAAGGTCTGCCACATCCTCCAAATTGAGTCACCCCTGACACATTTTCTGTCAGGAGAGTAATTTTAGCATGATGGGAGTATGTGCTAGAGGCAGGTTCCTTTGAAGTGCTGATGTGCATATGTTTGTGGGGTATATAGAAGAATAGATACAAAGGTAGGAGCGTCCATCTTAATTCTTGCCCCACCCCTTGAAAATACATGTGTTATCTTTGTTGAGGGTCCTTAGACACCTGACAAAGAAATTGGATTTAGTGAAAGAAGTAACACAGGCAATCGGCTGTTTGCGGCCTGAGGTTGATCCTTGACTTCTGATAGTATAATTTCCGATGTAAAATATGTTTGACAATCACAGAAATAATATCTCTTGATGTGTTTGCGGTCACAAGTCTTGAACTTGAATGATGATTGTGTGGAGTCCTGAGCCTCAGGTCCATTCCTGTGGAAATGTTCCTGAAGGTTGGATTCTTGGAGGGGTGATTCAGGCTTCTTATTGATTATCATCCTTTTGAAATGGTGATTCAGTGTGTTTCATAAGAATCCTTTTGATGAGGATTCTTTTAATGTGTTATATGAAATACTTTTGGAATATTTCCTGAAGGTTTCACACCTTCATGAAATATTCCAAATTATATAAGTTTGTGTTCTTGTTTATTCCAGTTGCTTCTAAGCAACGTGGCACAACTGTGAGCAACATCTAGTCATCTTGCGGTGTGAAGTTATTTACCCAGGGCAACATCTAGTTGAACCACAACAATCTTGACTTGAGCACTTGATTATGGAAACCATCAGGGCTTCATTGGGAATTCACATGCATGCATGCATGCATGCATCTCATCTAAAGACAGGTCAGAGATTGGAAAAGGTGCATTATGTATGCATTGAGACCTGAGGTTGTGTCATGAGGCTCCTGGAACTGACAGGTCAATTCATGTGGAGATGAGGATGAGAGGGGTGTTATTCAAGCTATATATGAGAGTTTGTTTGCCTTTTGTGATGAAGTTATATGAAGGAGCATATATAGAGGGGATGATGGCTTGCAATTTGCTGTTGAGTTCCTTTTCTGACGTTTCTTCACTTTTTTTTTGTGTGTGCCTTATTCCAAGATGATTAAAATGCATTCCCTCTCAGGGGTATTGCTGGATATGCTGCATTATTGTGCTCTATCTGTGACTTGTTTATATCCATGAAAGCAAGATTGCTTTTCAGGACTGAGGGGATTATGGCTGAGGCATATTGCAGCTCCAGTCAGAATCATATAAATTCTTTCCTGGTTTTCTTCATTTATTGTGTGATGAAAAGGTTGTGAGGGCTGTAGAAGAAATCTCATAGCTAATACATTTCTCAAGTACACTATCACTACCTAAAATTAATCAAAATGTGTATAGAGGTGTGAAATGATCTTTTGACATCATATTGCCATAATTTTTCCATAAATCATATATGTAAGAAGACTTTTCAAAAATATTTTTGAAACAAAATGCAAGTCCATATCTCTGAGAGAAAATTATTCCCCTCAAAATGAAATTATGCAGCTTTTCCCCTCAATAAATAAAAATGTGTGCGTGTGAAAAATATATCATTTAATATTCTGTGGATAACTTGAAAAATTTGTTGAATGTTTTATACAAAAATGATTTAAATTTGTTTAAACTTAGCTGGATCATCATACCACACTACAATATTGAAATGCAACGTTTTCTTGGGTAGGTTTTGGTCTGAAATGAAAAATTGCTGAAGCAATTCCTTTCATTGTAAAATTCTAAATGGTGAAGTACAGTAAAATCTTATTTTCCAACAAATCTTTCAGCATGACAAACTTTTTTGTTCTAGTCCCAGCATAAATCCTATAGGGTACATGCTATAAAAATATCATTACAGTACAAGGAACACTCAAATTCCAGTATAACAAAGTTTTTTGAGGAACATATTGTGGTTTTCCCAATGGAAAATCCCCATTATTGAAGGGAGGCATAGTTTCAAATTTCTCATTGAAAATGTGACAGTGAATGGTTCTTGAGACATAAATGGAAGTTGGAATCATGGACAAAAATTCTTCAAAATTCATGTGAACATCCTCTCCTGAAAATTTTTCCTCAGTTTGGAAAGAAAAGGGGGGGGGGGGGGGGGG